CGCATTAGGTCGTGTGACTCTTTTGCTTGCTAAACATGGTGAGCAGTATGTAGGAGTCAGCAGTGGTGACAAATGGGTGACTTTATCTGATTGATAGTGGGCACAAAGGGGAAGGACTCAGTAAAAGTCGTCCTTCTAAACCTTACAGATTCAAAACAAACCAAAATCGTTACTGCATTACACAATGTTTGGCTGTATGTAATCACCTCTCAATTACAGTGAGCATTATAATGTGGAACTGTGCTGCTAATTACATTATTTCGGATGTTTTAAATGTTAGTTTAAAACATTGTTTGACATTTTTTGTTTTAAACATTTAGTAAATGTATTGTGTTATGTACATGATGATTTTATAGTGATTTTGTATGTTATTTTTTAATGTTATTTTTGTATGTTGTTTAATTATATATAATTTTTAATTGAATAAAATTTTTTTTGTATTTTAATGTACACTGCCGTTTGGGATTGGTAAGATGCACACCAAATAGTGTTCACCAGAGATTGCAAATAATGGATTTTTAGATACTGAATAATCAGCGATGGGCTTTCAGTTTGGACTTTGGAGTGTTGTTTTTTGTTATTTATATATTTACACTACCGATCTAAGGTTTGGGATGTTTTGAAAGAAGTCTGTTATGCTCACCAAGGCTACTTTTATCTGAGCAAAAAATACAGTAAAAACAGTAATATTGTGAAATGTTACAATTTAAAACAACTGTTTTCTATTTGAATATATTGGATTTTAAAATATAACTTATTCCTGTGATGGCAAAGCTGAATTTTCGGCATCATTGCTCCAGTCTTCAGTGTCACATGATCCTTCAGAAATCATCCTAATATGCTGATTTGCTGCTGAAGAAACATTTCTAATTTCTTATTTCTTCCTATTATTATCAATGTTGAAAAAAGTTGTGCTGCTTAATATTTTTGTGGAAACTGTAATTTTTTTTTTCAGGATTTTTTGATGAATAGGAAGTTAAAAAGAAAAGCATTTATTTTAAATAGAAATCTTTGTTTTAGTGGTTTTGTTTTTAATAGAAACCATAATGAATGTGTTACAGTCTCTTTTTATTAATTTAATATGTTCTTGCTGAATAAAAGTATTTATTCCTGTAAAAAAATTTTACTGACCCCAAACTTTTGAACGGTAGTGTGCATTATTATTATTTGTATATATGTCTATTTAACTGGATTCTATCACAATAGAATACAATTGAATATGCAAAAAAAATCCTGTTAAAAGTGCAATGAACAAAATGGCCATAAAATAGTGCTTTTATCATTAGTCAGAAGCAAATGTTTTTGTGCCAGGTTGTACCAGTTGCAGTGATGCAGTTGAGTGCTTTGTGCCGAAGGAAGTGATGTAACTGCATGAGTGTGTGAGTGTGAGGTACAGTCACAGATGACTGGTCTCTCTGCATGGTGCACAGTTGTGAGGAGCAGTTCATGATAGCAGCTTGAATGTTTTGTGATGACCGTCTCTTAGTCTTAGCAGGGCTTCTCGCCAGTCCCTCCTCCATTTCTTTTCTCTAATCCATTATTTATATTTGTTTTAGAGCCATATCTCTAGATGTCATCACCTTATATCCATCCATTCTTCTATTGTCATTCTATTATATTCACTATTATCTCATACCCTTTCCTTTTCCTCTTACGGGGTCACCTTTTTCTTCATCCTCCATCTAGTCTTCACCTCCATTCCTTATTCCTCCCTCTCTCCTCTCCCCTCCCCTTCTCCAGTCTGTTTCCTGATGATGAGGTTGCTGTGATTAGTATGCATGAATAGCACGAGGATGTTTCAGTGCAGAACGTGTGGTGAACGTGTGCCTGTGCTCTCCATCCCCTCCCACAGACTGTACTGGAGTGGCCTTGAAGAGCAGTTGCTAACATTGAGCCCTTGATACAATCCTCAATAACAACAGCACTGCTTCACAGGGACTCTGACAGAACACACAGTGACAAGATGTGAGGGTCAACAGCATATGACGTGTATGTATGACCAGTGGCGTAACTTTGCTTTGAAAACTGGTGGGGACACCGCACAACTCGTTTTGCTAGTTTTTTTTATTTAATAACCTAATTTACTTGGGGACTGGGTTTAGAGTTGAACAAACTTAATTTTGGCTTTTCAAAAATACATCGATGTACCAGGGGCGGTGCCAGAGAATTTTGAATGCAGGCAGGTGCTGAGGGGGTGCTAGATCATTGACAGGGGGAGCTGGGCAATTCAGGGCTCCAGACTCATTCTTCCCACTGCTCGCTCTTTTGCCATCAACTTTCTCAGTTGGCTGCACAAGCACGGTTTTTTCTTCTTCTACAACATGCTGTTAATCAATGCACGCTGATTAACTTTTATGGTAGTTTATAGTTATATGGAAACGAAAGTAGTTAACATTCAACCCGTTCTTTTTCATCAGCAGTATTATTTGTGATTTGAATTTTGTGAATGGGAGTTCCTCTTTTGCCATGTTATAAGCCGGGCTTCCGATGCTTTCACTTTCGATTTCACGATCTTGTCAGGTTTTACAATAAAATATAATTGTCTGTTTTGCTTACATCTATACATCTTTCACGTTTTAAGACAAAAAAAAAAAAAAGATGGATTAATTATTTTTAATTAAAATGCATAACAACAATAACACTGTATTCAATGACAAACTAGCTTACAAAACGTTATTAACAAAAACGAATAAGATGAGGCATGGCCTACACGCTGTATTAGGCTATATAATGACTAATAAATTACAGAATGTTTAGCAAACACTGAGGAATCAAAAAAAAAAAAAGAGAGTCTCCATAGCATCAGTGAGTTCAAAGAAACAAAGAGTTAGTAATCAGCCTGCAGATATTCTGGACGTGGTGTGAATTTTTATTTCTGCTGATGTAACCAGTTTTTAGTTATGTAAACTGAACATAACAGCAATAAAGTACATCTTTAAAGGGACATTTCATCCAAAAATGAACATTGTCATTGGTTACTCACCCTCATGTTGTTCCAAACCTGTATGATACTTGAAACACAAATGAAGATATTTTTAATGAAACCTCAAAGATTTCTGTCCTTCCCATTTCATTCCCCTAAAACTTTCACACATCTAAAAGTGTATAAAGACATTGTAAATGTAATCAATATGAGTTGAGCAGTTTAATCCAAGGGTTTATATGTTAATTAAAACCTAAATTAAATCTGTTCATCATATAAAATGATCGTGTTTCTTCAGAAGACTTGGATTAAACCGCTCAGTTTATATGGATTATGATTACAATGTCTTAAATGGACTTTTTTGAACACTCTGATTGCTCTGAAATCACTAAATAAAATGCAATCAAATGCTCCACTGTTTCTGCACATTCACTGATATGCAGATATGCAACTTTTCTTGGATTATTTATGGTATATGTGAGCGGGTTTTAAGTTTTGTATTCTATACTGCATACACTAACATGCAAAAGTTTAGGGTTGGTATGATTTTGAAAGTTTTTTTTTTTTTTTAAAGAAGTCTCTTATGCTCACCAAGGCTGTATTTATTGGATCAAAAATGCAGTAAAAAAACAGTAATATTGTCACACATTATTGTAATTCAAAATAGCTGTTGTCTTCTTTAGTAATGTAATGTAAAATGTAAATATATTTTAAAAAAGTAATTCATTTTTGTGATGATAAAGCTGAATTTTCAGTCATAATCTTTATAGTATCATGTGATCATTAAGAAATCATTCTAATATGCTGATTTGCTGCTCAAGTAACATTTATTATCACTGTTGAAAATATTTTTGTGAGGACTTTTTTTTCAGGATTCTATGAATATCTATATGAATAAATTTATTTCAAAATGGAAATATTTTGTAGCGTTATAAATGTCACTTTTTGTTTACTTTAATGCATCCTCCTGAATAAAAGTATACATTTAAAAAAAGAACCTTAATGTCCCCAAACGGTAGTGTACATGTAAATTGCATTCTTCTGTATGTTTCTCTGAATATTTTTCTCTCTCGGCCTGAGCTGAGGTAGAAGAGACATTTGGGCCAAGTGATTTATTTAGCCCACGTGTGTTCCTCTTTCCTGGTGTGTGCATGCACCATCACAGAGATACATGACCTGCTTTCATGGCTACTGTGTTTCAGCTCTCTGTCCTATTGCTATTGCACTAAACGCCTCTATTTCTGTGGCAGTGTGGTGAATCATTCTAGCAGCTATGAGAGGAGGACTGCAAGACTGAGCGCTTGTCAAGAACACATCTTCTCTTCTTGTAGGAGAATATATTTAGAAAGGAGTGAAGTTGTTAAGGAGCTGTGTGTGAAGTGGGAATCACAGTTATGATGATTTCTGTGTTACCATGGAATGTTTTCTCATAAACCCTTAAGGGCAACCTTCCCATAGGAAAGAAAAATGACGAATAATATCTTCTTAGTGAGTGAGATCCAATGGAGATGAAAAAAAAACTTGCTATGATCATTTCTCATTAGATTCTTCCAAGACCAAATTATCTTAGGTATGCTGTTCAGTTTCATTTGATCAGTTTAGACAGACTGAATGTTAGTAATGGTCTGTTTTGTTTAGAGAATGTTAGACAAGAACATTTAAGACTTAATCATGGCAGAGAACTCCATTAAATCTCCTAAGCCATGAAAAAGCAACCTCTGAGCAAAACAGTATTCACTGTTTTCAGAAAAACAGATACAGCTATGCTTGACCAAAGTGTTTGAAGGCAAATCGTCTATGAGTTGAGTAAGCGAGTCTTGCCTTGCGATCAGTCTTTTTCACTTTGACAGCTGTCCATCACAAAGACTTGCTGACAGCGATGAGCCGACGACGCATACTGACAGCAGCTGTTCTAGTGCTTCATCTGTGGGAGGTGAAGCTGACCACTGATAAAACGCACATCCCCTCATTTATTTATAGGAAGGCACCATACTGAACATGTGATCATCCTCCTTATCTAGGTGACTTTGTGGTTACCGTTCTTACTAATGTCCTCTTCTTTTTTTTTTAGGTGAAGAAGTTTGCCAAGTATCTGGATCCCAATGCTCATGGCAGAATTAACTTCAGAGATTTCTGCCATGGAGTGTTTGCAATCAAAGGTAAGAGGACGGTTCCCTTCGGAGCAGTATTTCATGCCCATAAATACCATTGATGAATCTGCTTGCATTAGATCAAAGGGATTCTGAGAACATCAGGGTAAAAATCTCTGAAATATGACTACAAAAATACAATTTCAAATAACTGTCAAAATACTGTCATGTTCTTTTGTCAAAAATTTATTTTATTGGAAATTAAATTAATTTTGTATACTTTACCCCAGGTTTCACAAACTGGGATTTGTGACAGAACTGCAGGTGGTTCATGAGATGAGGAAAAGCTAGTAACTAATGAAATCATAAAAATCTAAATTTAAAATAAATCATTTTAATATACAAAACAATATAATATAATCCGAATATTTTATTTGTTTAATTGCATATCATTTGATCATTAACCACCATCAGAAAACCATGAATGTGCAAATGTGTTTTTAAATAGTAAAATATTAACCTAAAATCTTTGGGTGTACCTCAAATAAATATTTTGGTTTGGCTGTCGAAAAAGTTTGTGAATCCCCTGCCTTACCCCATTAAAAAATTTATTATTGTTGTTGTTATTATTATTATTATTATTATTATTAGGTTAAGAAAATGAACTTGCATATTTATTGCTAAGTTTACTTAAAAAGTATGCAAATTTGCTTATCAAGTGAATGCATCTTATTTTAGCAGGACAAAAATACTGATTATGAATATTATTTTTATATATACTATAACTTCCTTTTAAGCCCTAAATGTTCATTCTGTGGCATCAAACAGAGCACATCTCTTCTGTTCTGTCACACACACACAGCCGTTAAGTTCAGCACAAAGTGTGCCAAACTGAAAGATTCTCCTGAGATAAAAGCTTAGTTGCTAGACACCGTGCTCCTTTAGACAGACACTTTCCGTGATGTTCCTGAATTTCAGAAATGTATGCAATTTTATCTCCACACTAGTATTATCACTCTATTTTATTAAGCAATTGATCAGAAGAACCCAAAGGCAGATAATGGCACACAGCTCTGTCTTTTTAGCTTTGTGCATTGACTTCTGTGTAAATCTACAATTGTAAGAGATAATGAATAGCCTGAGTGAGCAGAATCTGATTAGAGATCTCTGCTTCACCAATGAACACTCTTGATCTGCTTAATTAAAAATAACCACATTTGAACAACAAATTACAAGCATCTCTGGGTGTGCTTTTAATCAACCATTTATCAGATTGAAACATTTTCTCATATAACGACAGCATAGTAGTAATTCACTTGTTAGCGTGGGTTGTGCTTCTCAGTTAAATGATGGGGGGATGTGATTCCTGATTATAGCATCAAGCATCACTTTGGGATTTTTTTTAGGGATTCACAGACATTTAAAGTTACTGTGTAATCATGGTTCAGCAATCTAATTTCACATTATTTATAGCTGTTTTAAGACACTTACTCCCTTGTCTAGCTCTCTACCCTATTTCACTGTCATTAAGAGCACAGTAAACAGAGTTACATTTGTCAGCCAGGGACACTCACGTTGCTTAGCAGACTTATGAAGCGGAGATCTGCTAGCTGAATAGGCAGGGCACCAGCAGGCACAGGGACCCGGGTAGGACGTCTGTGTGCCAGCGCTCTATGGAAGCGGCTGAAGAGGGAGATGTAGGCAGGCCAAATGGGCTCCAGGCCCAAAGACTTTGTCCCCCAGTGTCCTGTGTTTAATGAGCCCCAGTGGTCTTCCCACTCTCTCATTCCCTAATGAATCCCCCAATCCCTGATCCCCGGCATGCACAGCAAGTCTACAAAGCCAAAGCCTATGTTTGTCCTTTTGAGGTCCCAAAGGAGACTGCGCTGTTGTGTGTTGTGCAGGATTGTTACCACTGTTTCACCAGTGGTCTGTCTTTGCTCTGCTAAAACAGGCATATTGTGCATGGCTTTATATATATTGCCCACAATATGTTCCTATTTGGGACATTCCCGGAGCCAAGGCGAGCTGTGGCCCACTTGAGATGTCACACAGAGCACTGAGCCTTCACTACACTTCATGTTATGTGACTATAAATGGATCAGAGGCCTGGGCTGCCCTTCACTGTGCCTCTCAGTGTGTTATTTATTCATGAGATTTTACTTAGCTTTTTGTATTTCTGCAAATGGGTTTGTGTATTTGAGAAACAATATAGCTTTATATTAAAGAGAACAGTTCCCCTTTCCAACATGATATCTAGTGTTGAATTTTAGTTTTTATCAAAATGTGGATCTTGACAATTTGTTTTTTTTTGGGCTCTCATAAGTGGAGCAAAAAATCTCTAAATGTTATAGTGGGTGTAGTGTCTGGACCACTCAAACACACAATATATATTTTGTTAGCTAGATTTAACAAATACTCGGATAAACAGTTAATAAGATTATGCAATATGAGATCATTCCGTAACTCCCCAACAGGACCTCACCGGACAATGGCACCTTTTTAGTTACACCCAGCATCACTACCCCCTCCTACCCTGCGAA